TCTCTCTCTCTCTCTCTCTCTTTCTTTCTTTCTTTCTCTCCCCAGCAATCACTCTACAGCTTACACTCATATGTCTGTTATGATTGGTATATGTTTTTATCGACAAGAAATATATCTATATTTAATTGACATAAATATAAGGGGAGAGAGAGAGAGAGAGAGAGAGAGAGAGAGAGAGAGAGAGAGAGAACTGGACACACGCGATATCATATGTCAATTATAAGACAAATTTCTTATTAAATTTTTGTTTTCAATTTTATTTTATGCAAAAACTAATATTTTAAAAACAATCAATAAAACATCTAAAATATTCATGATTTACTTATAATGTTCTAGCATATTTTTGCCTAAAGATATTCAATACCATTAAACCTAATGCATTATATGAAATTAAAATATTAATAAAATTGCTTTATTGCTCATGGTAATTTTTGTAAAAAAATAATAAGAATTAAAGGCAAAACATACCCATATTTGGCAAAATTGGTCCAATAGGTCATCACTGCCTCCGAGAGCGTGACCTCAGGCTTACTATAGTTGGCGGCGAAGTGACCGACGGGTCGGCCGAGCAGTTGGACAGCGAGAGGGGCGCCAAACAAATACGCCAACTCTTCGCCGTGCATACAACCCAACCTTTGGTGCAGCAACTTATTACCATCTTCGCTCTACATACGGAAAAAGCACATGTGATAAATAAAGTTTGCAATACAAAAATACCCGCTAGTTAACTAATTTACATGTATATTTCTCAACCTACCACTACAACCGACCTTCTCTATTATAACAATAACTTAATACCCCATAAACACGTTCAACAACAATACATACCTGATATGCAAAGACATAGAAATAGATGCGGGCGTTACGGCCACCACCGCTACCACCCGGTCCGCCAGGCAGTGCCCCATTAGCCCCATCAGCACCGTTACCCCCGTTAAACGAAATATACGGTTGTGACGGTTGTTGTGATGACTGGTGATAGTGATGGTTGTATTGTGAGGTGTGTTGAGGGTTGGGCTGAGCGGAGATCCACTTTGAGTGCAAATCTCCGCTCTCTATAAGCGATGAGACGCGGAGCGCATCGCCCAGTATATCGACCGTCGAGTCCAAGAGGTTGATCGGGTGGTCGACCGGACGGTTCCAATCCGTGTACTCATTCATTAGAGTCAAAAATATTGACTAAACAATAATAA